TTTTTGACACTTAGCCATGCATGCATAAGTGGAATGTGTGTTGTAAGCTTTTGGTGAACTTAGACATGCATTTTGACACTTAGCCATGCCATGCAGAAGTGGAATATGTGTTGTAAGCTTTTGGTGAACTTTGACATGCAAGAGTTGCATGTAATTTACTTATTTAAGAAGGCCTCTGTTCAAAAATTAAAGGGCTTGGAACCTTTGGCTTTTTTTCAAAAAAAAAAAGCTTACATAACTCTTTTTAGCTCCACTTTTCTCTAAATTTTTCCTTCTCTAAAAAGAGTCCCACCACTCTATTCCAAGCCTTGAAAATAGCTAGGAAGATCTCTTGGTGGTCCTTCATTGGAGCTATTTGAAGATTTTTGAAAAGCTACAAAGGTTTGTATTTTTCTCTACTTATCTCTAAGCATCATAATATATGATCATGCATGTTTAATCCTAGGTTGTATTATGCATCTAGATTGTTATTTCGATTCTTGCTCACTTCCACTGCGCATGTATGTATATTATCCATCAAATACAACTCCAACGATCAAGGTAGACACCTTAAGGGTTTTGGTGACCATTTTTTACTTACTTGGTGGTGATGGGTCCTTTCCTTTTATAGGCGCGGATGACCGACTAGGAAGGATGGCGGTTTTGAGCGCAGGGCACGTCTGGCTATATGGGGTTCTGACAGGTGAGGGCAGACATCCCCAATAATTGGCGAGTGGCGCCTCCATCTGCAAGTCTGTTCCCCTCTAGTAACAAGTCGCAGGCTACAACCTTGAATGGTCTTCACGTACAGCTCTGGTGGTTACGCTCCCGTACCCATGCGCATCGTACGTTTCTAACAGCCTCTGGTCCCATGCCTCACTATCACTCTCAGTGCTGGACACGTATCCTTCTTTGATTTCTCCCTCAACACCAAATACCATCCAAATCATAATTGAAACTTAATACTAGTATAGTTTCAATTATATCAAATAATATCAGTCAGTTTGTTCTATAGGTTGGAATTGGAGGGCCCGTTATCCCATATCTTGTATATTGTTTTCAGTTTTATTTAGAAACTTAGACATTTGACAACTAATTATTATATTTATTTTCTCATTTTTTAGAAACATTTTAAAATTTTTATTAGAAATTTTGTAAACAATAAAAACAAGTTTTTTGTTTTCGCTTTCTAGTTCTCATTATCAATTTGTTCTAAAACATAAATAAAAATACTGTTTTATCAATCTTGAATTCATGGGTGTTGAGGCCATACAATTCCATTTTTCTTTATTAAAAAGAGAAAACAGAAGTAAGAAACAAAAACATCACCAAGCAAGGTGATAGTAACCAATCACATAATAAAGATAAAAAAGGTGATTGAGACGATAGACACTTCTTTATTTTCCCAAAATGTTCTCTTTATTAAGTATTACTGTTGATGTATAAATTTGGCCTCCTGAGATTCCGTCAAATTCGCACCAATCTTCAAGAATAAAAGGGATTAAGGAGACCTGCAAAACATAATAGCATTAAAGACCGGTGTGGCTCTTGCCACACAGGCTCTGATACTTAAGTCATAATAAGAGTAGTTGAGTATAAAGTGTGGAGTGTTGTGAGCATACCTTTACGGTTTAGCTTACTATTCTATTTATAGAGGTCGAATCCTAATCCCTTTACGATTTGCATAGGTTGGATCCTAATGCACCCAGGAAATCTAGACGGAGTGGGTCTCATGCTGAGCCCGTTCATTTCATTGTGGACTTAAGGTCAAATCGAGAATCGAGATGGTTCGGGATGAACCGTTAAGGTTCTCAGCCGAAAGAGGTCGGCACCTGGTGACCCAAGCCGGCCTCCGGCCAACCAATGGTCGGCACCAACCAGACCTCGGCGTTGAGCAGTCGTGTCGCCTAGCTGGATCTCACCTACTATAACAACTACCATAAGAAAATTCTGGTATTACTAGACAGACGAGTACTTCCAAGCCACTAATTAATGCTATGTTTGAAAAGTAAAATTTTTCAATAAAATTTTGATATATTGGTGTTTTATTGAGTGCTTTTGATTTCAATACTTCATTCTCAAATCTCACACAATGTGGATTCCACATCTTACACTCTAAACACACCTTTATAGGAAAATTTATCCATTACGGGAATACCTACTATTTGGTAATCATTTTATTTATAAATAATTCTTTAATACGACGAATTAATTAAATTTTTTAATATTAATGACTCTACGTTATTTTCATACCATGTTGAACATGACATGATAAATAGTAGGTATTGTAAAAAAAWTTTCCTCTTTCATGGTCAACTTCTCTCGAGACCTACCTTTTCTCATTAATATTTCCCTCTCCAAACATTTCATTTTACTAGCTTCTCATTTTCATTGCAGACTTTACACCAATTTCTTGTACATATATTTTTATTTCCTTAAAATCTCTCTACACACGTTCTTTAACTTATTTAATTTTAACTTTTCATCTATTTATTATTTTCATTTTAATGTGATTTGTCAATACTTTTTTAAGTAAAGATTAATCAGGTAGAGATCAGGTAGAGATGATGGACTAAAAATTTTTAGGAACACAAGAATGAGACCGTTCATCTTTACTCCGGCCACTACACTATTGATATCTCTCGTCTACATAGATTTTCTCTCTAATATATATTTCTATTTTTCTAACTTTTTAAAAATAGAAAACTAACAATGGTTATCAAACCTGTTTTGTTTTCTGTTTTTTAAAAATAAAAAACAAAACTCAGTTATAAAACATATATGATTTTTATTTTTGAAGAACAGAAAACCAAAAACCAAAGAGAGGAAAAACAAAAATAAAAAATAAAAAGAGTACCAAACGGGCTCTTAAAAATTAATTATAGTTAATAGTTATATCTATAAAAAACTATTGAAATATTAAAAATCAAAATTTGAGGTATTGTAACTTTTCTTAAAGGTAACGTGACATCTTGACCAATTAGATCCAATGATGATGATGGAATTGACTCTATAACCATCCAGGCCACAGCACTAAGTGGAAAAACATTAGGGCCATGCTATAAGTTTTATGATGTGTCTTATCATAGGGAAAAAAACACAGACCAAAATACCATTTACTTTTGTAGTAACAACTTTTTAATGATAGATTTCTGAATAATTGAGAGATTAGGTGCATTACCAGTAGCTAGGATCTGTAAATAAATATCAAATAAATTAACCAACATCAAACTATGTGGATATATATCTTAGGAAAAGAACTCAATTCAACAATCGAAGAACGGAAGAATTTCTTCTCTCTCTTTGATGGTTTTATGCCACCGAATATGTCATCAAATAGTTTACTATCACGTTCGTTCGAAATGGAGCTCTACCTTAGCCTGATGCTATTGTTGGATAAATTGCACCATTTGATTCCATTTTAATTCACAGATTCAAGCCTTAATTAATTTGTAAGTATTATTTTGCGAATCTTGTAGTTGAATTGAAAGTAGAAATTAAAGCTAAAGGCAAAAAGAAAGAAGAATACGCTACTATTTGATCCGAAAACGGTCAAGCTCGGAATCCACGTAGGTCGGCTAGTGTGCGATGATCTGCCTTGCTTTTTGAAAAACCTGCAAAACAAGGTTACCACTCCGACGAGCAAGTTAGCCTCAATCCTATCTAACTCTCAGAATGCAAATGGATTAAACTACGTTACATAATGGGTAGGCATCCCTATTTATAGGGATGAAATCCAATAGGACTCTTGGTCATCTGACCGTCTGTAAAATGCAGCGTGTTGTCAGACTTAACATGTTATTCACCGTTCCTATGGACATGTTTGTGCGGGTTGGCTTCGACTGTGGAGGTTAGCCGACGACTGACGCTGTCCAGCTCAGCTCGGCCAACTATTCTGACCTCAAGAGACTTGCACAAATTATCATAACCAAAAATATATTTTAGCAAGAATACCTTTTTGATGTTGACAGGTTACAGGTGATAATCAGCCCCCAACATTGGCCCCCACTTCGGCGAGTCGAGGCTCAACTCGGCAAGAGTATTCTGAGGTAGCTGCGGTGGAATGGGTTCCACGTGTCGACGCATGACGTCAAGGGTGACGTCAGCCCTACTCGTTATCTCGAGAACTCAAACGTTGCATTGATGGGTGGTCATCGTTGAAGAATCTGGGTTGTTGATCCTCCCTTCATCGTGCAGCCCTTGTGCTTCTGGGTTGTCCTATAAATAGGAAAGTTTTCTTCTAGTTACTATTTCGTTCGAAGTTTTGGAATACCTCGGTCATTAGCTAAGTGAGGTATTTTCTCTTCTTGGTCAAATAGCTTTAGGATTTGAATTAGGCAAGTATGAGTAGCTCGTCTAGTAGTTCAACGTCTGAGTCTAGCAGTTCCTCGGACTCAAAAGACATCTTAGGTGGTCCGAACATAGCATCCACCTTATGAAACCCTATTGTCAAACTTCCACCCATCTTCCTGATGGGACGTTAATCCCGTAGCAAAAACGGAGATCTTGTTATTGAATTTTAAGGAGGAAAAACAACAAATTGAAAAGGAAAATACAGCGGAAAAATGAAATTACATTTGTTTCCGTTCAACACCCCCACCGATCTTCTCAGCTATCCTTTGGGAACGAGAATTTGCTTGTGGGAGCAACAAACTTGGAATTGGTTAGAGAGAGATCTTGAGCAAAGAACATGTACGAAGAGTCTTTTTTTTTCTTCTGTTATGTTTTATGAGAACCATTATGCAAGAAAAGGAAGAAGAAAAAAAGATGACGTGGGGAGTTAGTCCACGTCATAACAAACCACCCACTCCCAGGGGAGTGTTTAATATTAATAATTAATCAATCTAATCAATTAATTAATATTAATTAATGAATTATCAATCCAATTATCCATTAATTAATTATATATATATATATATTAATTAAATAAATAATTAACACTTAATTATTAATTCTCAAAATAGAATCATATTATAAAGCATTTCTCTCCTATAACCTATAATTATACATACATATATATTAATTAATTAAATAAATAATTAACACTTAATTATTTATTCTCAAAATATAATAATATTATAAAGCATTTATCTCATATAACCTATAATTTTAATGTACATATTATGCATATTATTTATAACCTATAGTTTTAATATGAATCCTAATCATATTGATTTTTATTTGACTATCATTCAAATAATTCATCTCATAATATATAGTTTCAATTTAGAATTAACCATATATTATAATCCCTTGAGCAATTTGAACATTTCAAATTCTTCCAAGAAATTCGATCCTCGTTTTACCCGTTGTGGGCTAACAAGGGGATATAAGAGACCTACAGATCAGAAGCTTCAACGATACAAGATTAATTGGTCAAACTCATTAACTGAGTTAATCAACATTCTGTTGGGTGTGTTGCCCTAAACTCGTAGTTTGTATTTTGTAAAAACAAATGTCTATTTAATAAAGTTTTATTCAATAAATTTGTTGTTGAATCATAGCTTTGCATT